TTATTGAACTGCCAGATGACTAAACTCAACTATTCACTTCCTTGCATGAATATTTTTTCTGCGAGAGAATCCTGATTTGTAATAAGATTATTGATCCTTTATCATCTGTTTTAAGGCAGAAAACCATACATGTAGGATTTAAGGCTCTAGGCACTTTTTATCTCATATCAATAAAATTTGCAATCTGTATCCTGCAGGGATAAACCAGAGAGTAAGATACAAACAAGAAATGCTAAGGTTTAAATCCAAACAGCTTACTTTCATTATTTCTGTTTGATACTTTAGGAAGGAGGCACAGGCATAAAGCAACTTGCACAAACATACACATCCAGGCAATGACTTAGCAGGAAAAAAATTCAGGTCATCAAGGCAATAGAATATTTCAGCCAGGCTTCCTCTCAGGTCCCCAGTATAATAATAATAAACATAGCAGGGTACTGATGTTGAGAAAAACAATGGTTTGACAAAGGCAAAAGTTGAAGTTCTATACGTGACTAACCCCTAGCCATTACAAAGTGGACTGGACAGAGTAGTAGGAGTAGAGGAACTTCATTTTCTTCAGTCTGAGCTACTGCTGAAGATGGTTTTAAACTTTGTCTACAACATGCTGTCTCTGGGTGTGTTCCTCCCTCTTATCTCTTCTTTTCTTTCTCCTATTCCTTTTCCATCTAGTGCCTGAAAAGTGTCCTGAGGGTTTGACAGTTTCTATTTAATCATTTCATCCTTCTGTATGGAAGACTGCTGAGCACCACACAGAGAAGTTACTACCAGACTGGAATTTCTGAGTACGCTCATGCCCTCTTACCTCCTTTGGTGCCAGACTCTTGATATCTCATGCACCTCCCCATGCCTGTGATGGTGTAACAAATAAAATCTCTAAACAGCTTCCTTTGATGGGAAGGGGGGCAAGCTGCATTTTGCCAACACACAAAAAAAAGACAGAGAAATATTGTTTCCTAAGGTTTTTTTTTAGCTCCCAGTGTACTAACGGTATATTCATTAAAACCAGCATTAGATTACAGAGGGGGAGGAGAAACAGTGGGCAGCCATTTTATTTAGCCTTGGAAGACAGTTCAATTCCCAGCTTGCTGCCTTTTGGAACTCACAATCTGTTATGAGACTCTACAAAAAATTGGCTATACTTTGTCTTCCATAAAACCAGACAACTGAAATAAATACACTAATGACTGGTCAAATTATCAGATCTGATGAAATTTCCAGCTTTCAGTTGTCCTACTATTTCCATGAGACAAAGGGATCAAGCATTGGATAAGACATAAGATAAAAAAAAAGTAATGACTGTCACTAGCTCAGCTTGTTCCCAACTAGGGTTTGCAAGTGTTTCATTTTTCCATTTGCGATCTGACCCTTAGCAATTCCATGAACTATTCCAAATGAACCCAAAGTTCATTTTAGGATCATGGATGAATCAAAATATTTCCATGCCTATTTTTTAATATCACTAAGCATTCAAGTCCTGACTGTGTGAAAGAGTATTAACCAAACACTGGGCAAAGCAGAGCTGGACCACAGTTTGCGCATGCCTCACCAGTGCCACCAGTGAATGCAAGTGAACTTCATTTCCTGTACTGAGCACTCCGATTGCCTGAGGGTACAAGCATACACACACACAACTATTACAAAGATAACACTGTAATGTTATGCTTTACACAGGCCCATGGCAAATCTGTGCACTCATATTTTACATGTCTCTCAAAAAATCACAGCAGTTTTTATATGAAGACTTCCCTCTGCCAAGATGGACACAAAGCTGTATATCTAGCCAAAACCATGGAGGAAAGGAGCATTAAAAACATGTTGTCGAAAGCAATCTAAATCTATGTACAGATTTTTGTTCTCAATAGCATGTATGAGTATCTGTAGGTAGAGATATTCATGGGGTTTAGGGTATTTTGCAGAAACATCCAGACTTCTGGAAAAGCAACAGTGCTGAATCTCCTTTTCTGTCATTTGACCCTACAAAAGATTCTGTGATCAGAGAGCAAGAACCAAGTTGGCTGATGATGTTGAGGAAGCATTTATCCTCTCATATTGTAGTCATGGCCACCCTTTGACAGAAAGCTGCAGGCTCTGCAGATCTAATACACTTCTGGCGCAAGCGTAAGACAACATGCCCTTCAGACTCAATAAGCACCGTTAAAGCACTGAGTGGTATTCTAACAGCCCTTGATTATGCTATGGCCATGTAGTTAATCATGATCACTGAGGCCAACTTATCTTCAGCAGGAAAGAACCACACCCTTCCATCACTAGAATACCAAAAGCTTTTTTGCATGCTCCAGACTGGACCTCTAAATATTTTCCATATTCATCTAAAGTATGGTTGGTAGCAGTCAGTGAGCTTTAAGAATTATATCTTCCTAGGCTCAGACTGCCAGTCAGCACTTTAGAGATCATTGTTGAAAGTCATTTCCAAACATGTTGGGAATCTGAATTTAGAAACATTAACAATGGGATTTCACAGATGTAGGTTACATGCTTTCAGAAAAGAAATGGCACTTCCTGGCAGTGGGGAAATACTTAAGAACTACTTATCCCTTAATTAAATAAGGTGCTGTATTGTAAGTACTGATGCTAAGCAGTGTTCTAACATGTGTTCATCTTAACCCTACAGAATTATGCTGAATTACTAAGGCTCCTGAATTACAAAGGCTCCATCTGAGCATTTCTTAGCCAAAACTACTTGCATAAACAGATGGAGCAGTTCTGCTGTTTCCATGATGACACATTTTGATTGCAAAAGTACAGGATTAAGTTCAAATTTATCATAAAATCACTTTAGATTGGGTTCTGTATTTTTTATATCCTTCTCAAGTGTGACAAACAGAGACAAGACTGTCTCTTGTGTTTAAAATAGGCAAACAATAGCTGAAATGGCTGGTAAAAAAAATATTGATTTAACAGCAACAGAGTACTGCCTGAGGCCAGACTAGGACAGTCATCCTCAAAGATCTCTATATTCCCCTGAATAAGGGGATGATCCTCACTAGAAGGATTTCCGAGGACACATTAATACATCATGTAACTCCCAGTGGCACTGCAGGCTCCAAGGATCACCATACTAAAATGGGTAACTTTCTAGTCATGAGCTGAATATCAAAACACATAAAGAAGTGATGAATGCAGGTAGAGATGACACTGTGATGTTTCTTTGAGGAGTCACCTACAAAGAAAGACTGGCAAGTGGCAGAATATGTCAGATTTAGACTGGCTTTCTCTGAAGCAACACAAAGTGATTGGAACAGGATCTGGGAGTGGGGCCAAATCAAACTTGGGTTTTGAATATAGTCTGGTGATAGATTTCAATACTAGGCATTAATTAATATTGCTGGAATGTTTTGAGGGGAGACTACCAGAACCAAATAAGACATAAAGGGAAAAGGTCACTGGCAAAACTATGTCATAGTCTATGTAAATACACGCCTCTTAATTCCCCTAGATTGTAACTTCCACGGAATACCTCCTCTCAAAGACACTGAAGGGCTGCTTCCCTACTAAAACCAAAATAAGACTTCAGAATATGATTCTCAGGGAGTCAGATCTTCACACATAAAACGATTCCCTGGAGTTTAACTCCAGACTTCCTGTCAGAAACGTCTCAAGCTCCTCTGTGGTTTCACCAACTTCTAACTGGGGAATGAGAATCTCCATTTTGAAATTGCTCCTAAGACTTCAAAACCTGGAGTGAAAATGAAATCATTTGAATGTTCTTGTGAATGCACCAGAAGGAGCATGGCTTGCTAGTTTGAGACACAAGACAGATAAGTGCCCAGCTTCTGCAAGTGTAACTTTCCTACCCTGAATTTGGCAGTGAATGGATCTAAATCCACAGCTCCACCATGTAAGAGACTCACTTAAGTGAGTTAAAATTTAACTTTGTGAAGAAACAGCATATTTTAATACAATTAAATTCCATTTAAGTGTTCTGATCAGCTCTCTGTAGTTATGGATTCTGGTACTTTCTCTCCTGCTGGCAATCTATATTCACATCATGTGCTGTTCAAAGTGCAGATCAAAACCTTTCCACAGCCATGGACTGTCAGAAGGTTGTTCAACCTTTCCCCTAAATATAACTTTTCTGGGTTTTTTTTATGGAACAAGGAAGTTATACTAAGCTACTGTGGAAATACAATGACATTGCTGGTAGCTAAAAGTTTAAACACCCAAATAAGACAATAGATCAGTCATTTTTATCATGGCTTCTTTACAATTCCTTGAAATTGTAGATTTGTAAAGGTACCAGGCTTAATTGTCCAGTAAGTCACTGCCTTGCTTGCCTGTCTCCTAAACACCATGACACAGAAGCAGAAGCTATTTTATGTTTCCTTACTTTCATGGACGTGAAGTAAACAATCAATTTGTGAAGCACTTCTCCCCTTAGTCTGAGATTAGTATTACACTGAAATCCAGAAGTGGAAACAAAGGACACGTCATTCAGTGGACAGAATGGAACAAAAATCGCTAGCCCATACAGGCAGGGTGCAAGCCATGTGCTGCTATTTGTGGGAAGACATTAATATATTTTAACACAAGGCAATGCTAGGTAAGCAGACCTATACAAAAACTTAAATTCCACAGCACAGAATTCAATTCCATGTACCTAAGACTTGGAATGAGTGTGAAGGTTCTGTAAATTCTAAATAAACACATTTAGATTGTGATTTTCTTTTTCAGTTATGGCCAAACTCTGATCATCTGGCTTAACGTACACCAGAAGAACCAGTCAATTTTGGGGCTCTTTGCACTGAATCATTTCTTTATGAATGTTTAGCATTTATGCCTGAAGATGTAATACATTTTTCAAACCTGGAAAATCTGTATTTTAAATTAAAATAAGTACTAAAACATTACAGCAATATCTGAATTGAAGACTGATTTTGATATCTGCTAACAGACTAAAACCACTTACAGTCCTAGATAGCACATGCACCCCGCAGCATCTCCTGGCACGTTCTTCTAATCTTTTGTATATATCTTACCTTTAATGCACTGTGTTTTTCCTTTTCTTCAACAATCAAAATTTCTGCCAAATCCTCAGCATGCTCAGACTGTGCATGGACAAACAAGGTTCTCCCAGCTTCTGACATATTCCTTAGTGCAACTAAAGTTCCATCGTGTTCCACCTTAAAATCTGGGTTAGAAACTTCAAAGGTCAATTTATTATTCCCCTTGCAGTCATCAAATTTCACTGGAGAAAAAAGAAAAAAATAAACAAATAAGTATCCACTTTGGAACACAGACTTCAATAATCATATTGGCATATCTACGGATCTAGGAAGAAATGTATTGCAACCTATGATGAAAAACTTTCAAAGAAGCTTTATGGAGACCTCATAGCAGCCTTCCAGTATTTGAAGGGGGCCTATAGGGATGCTGGGGAGGGACTCTTCATTAGGGACTGTAGTGACAGGACAAGGGATAACAGGTTAAAACTTCAACAGGGGAGGCTATGCAAACTCTATAACCAGCTTTAGTGCCCAGACAGAATCTCACAGTGGATGACTACACAACACTCCAGGAAAGTCACATAGAAATCCTCTTTATGAGATTTGGCATGTTTCCAGACATACCAAAGTGAGGACAGGGTTGCCAGGGGATCTCTTGGAGATCCTTCCTCTCTGTACATTCGCTGGGATTGAATCCCAAAGTAGAACCAACACAGTGAAAAAGAACTGCTGATAGTTCCAGAATGTGAATACAACTTCACACCTTCTCTCCCTCCCGCCTTCCCCCATGGGAGCTTCACTTCCTCATTCCCAACTCCTCTGCCTTCTCTCCCAGAGCAGCACAGGGGGATGGAGAACAAAGGGTTTTGTACAGGAACTAACAGCTCCTCTCTGCAGCCCCTTCCTCCTCCTCACACTTTTCCTCTGGTCCAGCTTCAGGTCCCACTCCACAGGCTGCAGGTTCCTTCAGGACATACCCACCTCCTTCAGTGCAGGGTCCTCTGAGCAGTCCTGCTCCAGCGCATGCAGCCCTTCTAATTCTTCCCTTTCCTCCGTCTCCTCCTCCTCCTCCCCTGGGGCTCACATGCTCTCACACCCTCTCTGCCTTCACCCCAAGCAGCATTTTGCCCCTTCCCCAGAGGCACCACCATCCCTGTTGACAGGCTCAACGGTGCCCTGTGCCACAGCAACGCTGGAACCAGCCCTATGCTCTCACAAAGAACCCGCAGGTGTCACCCAGCAACAGCACACTGAACATCAACAACAGCTCTAGAGCCTGAGGTGGGATTGTAAAAACCACAGTTGTGACCCTGTTAATTTGTGACTATTCGTTGCTATCCTCAAGAGTCCAAAATCTATAATCGCCACATAAAAATTACCCCAGCACCTCAAGGATCAAGTTTTAGCCTTGCTTACATCTTTTAACTAAAAGGTGCTCCTATTTCCTCTGCTTTACTTGAGGGAAAAAAGAGCTGTCCTTGGATTCACAGTGGGATAACCAACCCACATTTCATCAGCTCATTTGCCATTTCATTGAATTTTGTTGAAAGCAAGCAAGATTATAAACAAAACACACAAAAGATCTTTTCCCTCAGATACTCCAATCCCTCCAGACAAATCTACCTCAGTCTGTCATGTCACAGACCCCTGCTTGCAAAGTCTTACACTGCAGTGGAAGCAGGGGGGAAGACATGCGGGAGCAGCAGCAGTTCAGATCAACCTCATACTGCCCAGGCTGTGCTGGAGTCCATGGTGCTCTCCAAGGCTGCAAATCACTTGCCAAAAGAGTCTTGTGCTCATGGTAGGAATTTGATGGAAGGCTCTCTGTTAGCAAGGCCTCCCTAGTGCAAAACAGCCCGTCACAATTTATGTTGTTGATATGACAGGCATTTTAACAGATTTACTGCAATCTCCTAAAGCTATCAACCCACCAAAAAGACAAAACTTTCCTGTCACCACAAACGTGGGAAGTGGAAATTCTCTTTACTAATCACTGTGCAGTTTGCAGCCCTGATGAATTAGGAGTAGATTCTCTTTTAGCTTATTCTTTCCCCCCCTTAACAAAATAAAACAATGAAACAGGCTCTTTGGCAGGTACCTTGTTATTGAATAAGTACCTGCTTCTCAAAAGCTGCTGCTGATCTGCTGTCTATTAATAGCTTAGAACTGAAGAAAATTGGCATCACTCTGAGAAATTAATTATGTCAAGAGTAAAATAATAATAATAAAAAAAGCCTAATAAAACTATGACAAAGTAATCACCTAAAACCAAATGTCGTGTTTCAGGGCAATAGCATCACCCAGCCAAATACTACAGGTCACATTCAAAAAGGGGCCACACTGTATTGTGTTTCAGAAAGTGGGGAGAAACTGGCTGGGAGTATACTTCTCCCACCTTGCTGCTCAGCATTCACAAACCTTGAGATTCCTGCATTGCTGCCATCTGCATACACTGCAGAAAATCAAAGACCACATGCAGATTTGACACATGGAATCAGAAGTACTTGGATCTATATTCTGCATTCCCTTGGAGTTATGAAGTTGACACTTGTAGACCTTTTATATTTTGCTCATCTGTTGACCTTGCTTTATGAAACCTTGCAACTTTCTCCAACAAAAGCAGAAGCAGAGTTTTTTGAAAGCAAAAAACTGTTTTCCTACCATATATCTCATCCAAAAGCACTGATGCTTTCAATTCCCAATTCTACCACAGAAACAAGAGTATTTGATGAGGTTAAGAGCAAGGAGAGGGAAAGAAAATGAAAAGGCTCTGAGATGTACTGATATGTAGGAGAGAAATTAGAAGTGGGTAGAAGACGAAGCGATCATAAGGATGGAGAACTTTGAAGATTATTCTGACCAAGGGCCAGATGTGAAATTGAAGCCAATTGTTAAACAAGGTGAGGAGAACTGTAACCTTAGATAAAATCCCCTAAATTAGGGGCAAATGTGAAATCAGAACAATGACGTCTCCTGGACTAGGATAACCAGGGAACATCTTATGAGACTGTGTTGCGTTCCCAGTCATTTTCGCAATGCCACTCAGTGGGAATCATTTGTTTCCTTAAATTCATGTAGATTCTGGAGAAAAGCCAGTGCAATACCCAGTTACCAGCACTTGAGCTGTCTGTACCTGGCCCCAGTAGTAGCTTCATAGCCTAAGAAGCCAGCCCTGGCATTGACCACACTTTCCTGCCCTGACAGGCAATGAGGAGGGATCCTAGGAGTTTCAACTTCATCAGTTTACTAACATTTTTCACCTGTGTCACTACACCTATCCCTTAAACAAAGCTACACATTGCTGATGCTGCAAAACAGCATAGCCTGCTAAATATGAGCAAACATGATTTTTAGTTCTTATTCTCCGGTGAAGAAAACTTGTTTTGTACACAAAGCCTGTGTAAAATCTTTATGTTAAAATTATAAAAAGTAATTAATTAATCACTTCTTGTGTCCTCCAAGTACTAACCAATATAAAAAGAAACAAGGCAGAGTTTTGCAGATCTCAAAAGAAGGGAATCTCAAACAGATATTGAAGAAAGCCTTCCAGCCGAATCCCATTGCAGGGATTTTACCACAAGCTTAATCAAATACCAGCTTAATCCAATATCACTCAAGACCAGTCTCAGTAACTGGTCCTGATACAAACCAAGAGGATGGACTAAGTGGTAGGTTAAAGTTTTTTCCACACTTGGAAACTGTAGATTCAATTAACCCCTGGTCTTTCAGTTCTACATTAGGCCTATGTATGTGCAGTTCATTCAAGAATATTAAAACTACAAAAATGAAGTGAACTAACCAATGTGTCTTACTACACAGCTTATTTATCTGGTGAAGTCCTGACACTGAACTCTCTCACAAAGCTGAAGGAAATTTGGGCATGGGACTTGGAACTTCTGAGAATAAGATAAACAATCACATGCAAAAAAACCCAGCTCAGAATGTTGCACTGAGAAGCTACCCAAATGATAAAAAGGGCCAGGTTTCAAGAAGGCTTGGATGTCTGTTATCAGAACTAAAACATGCCATTACAAGAATTCTTTCAATCAAATCCATTCAGATTAGTATTTAAACTATTTCCAGATACCAAAGAAGTAAATGCAGTTACTAAACTCTATGTCAGTTGGATGGATAACATATGCTCTAAGGAGTCTGCCACTGAGAGAAGAGACCAAACCATCTGGCAGTCTGCCTAAATCGAAAAAGTAGTCTCCCAATATATAACACTTTGCTGCTTGGCAACCATGATGGCATATGATCCTCATGATGTACAATAATGTCCACGATGTTCATGCATTTGTCACAGAGATGGCGTGTGAGGTAGCCATGAGCTGGATAACTGACGTTACTCATACAACCCAGCAGCACTATAACAGACTGGACAAATGGCACCCTGATTAGAGTGGACACTAAAACCTCCCACATCCTTCTGCACACTCTTTTTGTGTTAGAGCTTAAGGAGTTTAACTAGACTGCGAGCTCTTTAGAGCAAAGACCACTTGCTCACTCTGAGTCTCATTTTGCAACAAAATGTTTGGTGACCAAGGTGCTACAGAAGTAAAACACAAGAAGCGAAAGGTTAATAATAGTAACTGTTCAGCTATAGTTCCAAAGTTTTCATAATGCTGCACCAGACAGGACTAGTGATTGTGTCTTATTGTCAAGAACTCAATGGGCAATTAAAACAATGATGTAGTATTTATTTACTTGAAGGCAGAGTTCCTCATTTATTGCCGCATATATGACTCTTTTGATGTTCCTAATCATGTTCCAGCTGCCAGATGAACATCTTTATTGTGCCTAATATGCCACATGGTATGAGACAGGCTCCAAAACTCCATACAAGCAAAATGAGAATATTGCCAAGCATCTCCCAGTGAAAAACAACGTGCATGTCACTCATCACCCTCGCTCTTTCTCAGCCTCCTGTGTTAGACATTTCCTCCTTTCTGTAACAAAACTTATTCACATGTGAATTGCACAGAATATTTTTATCCACCAAGAAACATTCAGCATTAGGAATCACAAGGCTTTAATCACTGAATTCAAGACTTTAATCACGGACTTCAAGATTATTATCAAAGGACCTGTTGGAAAAAGGGTTCTTGTATAAGATCCCAAGAATCCATTACTGTAACGAAGGGAAACTGAAGTTGCAGTTGGAAATATTATCCCCTACACATCTCAGCAAGAAATCTCTGGTTCCTGGGATTCATCTTTTCAGTACATCCCATTTTCACTGTTATGATGTACTACATATGTGAGGTTTCTACTGTGATATTTATGATAATGAACCACAGATGTTTAAAAAAAAAAACATTTTAAAACATCAAAAGTTGAGCAGTTGGATTTCTTGTAAACCATACAAAAGAAAACAACCTGAAATAATTTCTTATATTTAAAAGCATGTATTAAGCTGATATATTTCTCTTCGAAAGTAATATTTTCCCCAAGTTTAATTCTCAGAAGTTTAATTTGTTTTGAACAGAAAGACAGAATCTGTAATTTTCTCTCTGACAAAATCTCTACAGAAGCATTCTGAATCATTAAATATACATACTTATAGGCACAAAAAAGAACCCCTTACACTGTATGTTTCTATGTACAGGTATTTGTATTTTTATGATAACTAACAACAAAATGGCTCCTCAGTGAGGAAATATCACATTTGAAAACACACACTTGGAGGCTTAATTTCTCTACCAATGAAGGTTAGCATACTTCTTGTAAATACAACTTAGCCTTGTTGAAATCAGCAGTAATTACTGCAGCAAGCAAACATTATCCTGTGTATGTTTTCTTATCTTTTTTAACAAATACCTTTAGATCATATTGAAATCACAAGTCAGAAGCTATAGCTGTGAGAAATCTAGAGATGCAAAAGCACATTACAGCTACACAAAGGCAACTTAACTTTCCAGCCCAGCAGGGATCCCTCAGCTCTGCTCAAAAGTCCTCCTTGCTCGATGATACTACCAATATCGGTAAGTTAGAAATTGGCAAAGCTGAGCTTCATTAACTACAAAGAGATAAAAATGATGGTTGAAGCAATCATAAATGCTTCTGAGTGCTGTTGTACATAAAAATTCGTAAGTACCATTGACCTTGCAAAGCTCTTGTTAGCCATAAACATTGAAGCTTACTGAAAACAGCAGGCAAGTAGCTAAGGGGATAGCAATAGGCCACCACGCGACAGCATTCATCGCACTGCTGAATGTCTGACACTAGTACAGGGTGTCACACATCAGCCCAACACAAATTAATAGAAACACAAAGTGTTATGAGTCTTCAAGAGATGAATTATGTCCCCCATGACACTTTTGGAGGCAGTCTAAAGTCTAGACAAGACACTGTCAACAGTTAAGGCAGACAGGTTGTTCCTTGTGATACAAGGTTATCAATTTTTCATAACAGTGCTTTAGAAATAATGGATTTGTGGTTTTGTAAGCTACAATTCATAAATATTGTTTTGCACATATACATACAAATAAACCTTATTGAACATTTAAGAAAATTAATAAAATTAATTTCATGAAAATCCTTTTTGAAGGTTTATAAATAACTTAATGCTAAACTCCAGCCAGCAGAATGTCTACGGAATTATTTACAAAAAAAACCCACAGTAAACAATAGTAGTTTATTATCTCCCAAAGCAAGTTTATGATTCCCTTGTACCTATATAAATTCTTCATGCTCCCCTGAAATAAATTATAATGACATATTTAGCATCCAGATAATCAAAAACCGAGGAAATATGAGCAACGGTACAATGTTCACCAAACTATAACAAGGACTGCCTAATACAAATACACATCTATATTAGACTTCTTTGGAAGAACAAGTACTAAACGACAGACTTCATCTTTGCACACACTTCTAATGTCTACAAAATCAACCTGATCAGCTAAACTGGCAAACCTCCCCTTGCAACTTCTGTGTGATCACCAGATTTGTGCCTAGCCTCAATAAAATGCAGGCCAACAGTTCATCCAGTGGGCACCACGGCGTGCATATCTGCTCCCCAGAGAATACCCTTTCCACAGTACAAATAATACCTATTAATAGTCACTGGGTTTTCTGGTGCTGTTAAAATGCGTAGCAAGAATGTATCACAGATGGGAGATAACCTTCCCATAGATCAAGAAAGGGATTTCACTGAGAAACCAGCTGCCACCAGTAGAAGGTACGGTATTTTCACTGGAAGAATCTCACCTCTCCTGTGTTACTTGGCTATCACTGATAGCCCTAGCAGAGATGTAAAAACTGCTAAGTACTTGAAATTCGGTAGTACAGTTCACCTGAGTGATACCAGACTACAGGCTGCTCCCACAGTGGAATGGGTACAGTATGTGATTCCAGAACAAGTGACTCCATCCCCACTGAAGACCTACATTAGTGATGCTCTGCTTAGTCTCTCTCCTCACCTTCTGCTATATCCAATAC